ATTTTAATCGTTCAAAAGTAGTGGTAGTAGCATAATTATTAATGCTGGAAGACTTGCATATATCCCATTCATGAGTATAAACGGGTATTTCAATAATGAAAACTAATGCAACGAACTTTTGAGCACGCTGAGAATAACAAAAAATCTTTGCATTCCTAGAAAGCAAACTAATTTTTTTCATGGTTTCACTCTAACACTAATTTAGGTCAGCTTTGCTGCTATGCCCAGGGTCTGTAGGCGATATAGTGCGTTGTCCAAGGCTAATTGAATAGATATATGTGAGCCACTATCGAAATTAAAAAAAATATTTGTTGTTAATGTTTCATGATTTTGAATTGTATTTATATTCCACTTTTTATTTTATTTTGTTCTGTAGGTGTTTCGAGCGTCTTTTATATATTTTTTTAATATCTTAGTTATAAGCTAAATATTAAAATCTAGAACTAAAATGATTTTGAACAAAACTTTGATGTACTTACTACTAAAATGCTGTGACCTCCTAGGAAACTAAAGGAGGGAATTAACCAAAAACTTATTGTTTGTATAAAGTGATTTTATTGTGCATATTTTTTGTTAGAGGTCCTCAACCGCTCAATATCCCATCATAAATAAACTAAAAATTCAACGAACAGCACACAGAATGACAAATGTAAATAAATTAATGACCACCATTTTAACCGCAACAAAACAATCATTAAAAAAAAAACAGTAAGTAAATATTAAGTACCTTATAAAATATTTGCAATACTAAATAAATAAAAACAAATGGGCTACTAACTAAGTAAATGAATACTAAATAAACCACTACTAACTAACTAAACTAAAGGGGCATAAAAGTACTAAACTTCTGTCTGCCAATTTTCCAGTAATATGCGCGACAGGAGACCCACGACGATTTTTTTTTACTTATCTATCTAACGGAGTCATTCGATTGATAAGTTATCATTCATCTATTTAAGGATAAGCAAGTCGGTCTAACATTAGCAGTAACACAAAGTTTTAATCCACCATATGTATGCCCAGCGTAGATTCTCCGACATAGTTCAGAGTTATGCTTTTGCATACATTTTGTAACCTAATAGTTTAAAACATTGTGTAAACTAGTATAAAGAGTAAGAGGTTTAGGTGCTATATTAAAATGATGAATTGAAATTCTTGATTAAGTTTTAGTCTCAAATAAACACAGAAAGGCGTCTCTTTTTGCTGACGATTCTCATTCAATTTAAGTACATTGATAATAATAATAACTTCACACATCTCACACACGGCAGTCAAATATCAAACAAGGCAGACCCTGTGCTATGGTAACCAGACTGCTGATACAACATACTTAAATATTTCTAGATACATACCTATTATAGATAAATTGCACCACAGGAACAAATGACCGTGCTTATCACACAATTTTTGTTCTGAGACCGAACCTGTTTGTTCTGTATCGAACCTACGACCAGCTCCAGCTTAGCAGCCAGGGTCACTAACCACTAACCAGAAATAATTAACTTTTATAAAATTATTACCGGCTTTAATATAGGCTACACTAAGATGAACTGTAAGAAACTGTATTCACCATTTATTATTATTTCTAACAATATGTTTACGGGATTATCGCTCTCACGATAAGTATTAAAAGCCTAACCAATAAAAACCTTTGAAATGCCTGACGCTTGACGTATTCATGATTCTTAAATTTTCTACCCAAAGGGACGGTGTTTTTCAAATTTCAATGGATGCGTTCCATTATTATAATTCACTGTCTGCGCCGTGCCGTTAATATCAGATGCACTAAAACTAACTAAAGAGTCCATACCAAATTTAGACCAGACGTGAGAAATATACAAACATACACATTCAACAGACTTTTGCATTTATTACATTAGTGTGATGTGATCATGAAGATCTACTTGTATCTTAAATCTCAATCAAATTGCCGACAGTAATAATACTTCAAAGAGGGCTTAACTAAATAACGTTTTAGACATACAAATAAACGAATACAACTAAACTGCCTCGGTGGGGCAATGGTAGCGTATGCGACTGCTGTTCTGAGGTCTCGGGTTCGGTTCCCAGCTCGGATCAAATGTTTGTATGATCTGCAAATATTTGTGTCGGAGTTTCGGTGTTTTCTATGTATCATATATATGTATTTACAAAAAAGTATATATGTATTCTATCATTTAATCTAGTTTTCATAGTACAAGCTCTGCTTAGTTTAAAACTAGAAGGCGTTGTGAGTCAGAAGTCCAAAATATTATACTACGTTCAAACATTTCCAAAAAGGTAAGCCTCTCAGGTTGCAAACAATCATTACTTATCGTTCTTATTTCTTCACATCAACATCAACAGCCTTTAATAGTCCACTAGTACACTAGTCTTATTTCTTAAATGATGCTTATTGATTTACAGACCTATTCTGTTTATTTAATTTCTCATTAAATATATGATAATAGCATTTTAATATAACCTTCTGTAACTCTCATTGTGATAGAGGTCTACCAAGGGTCCTTCAGACCAAGTAATCAAGTTGATAAGATTCGATACGTTTGTTTTATCAGAAAAGTACACATATATCAATAGGGAATCGTGTCCCTCATAGTAAATTCTGATTCATATCAAAATCCAAACAATGTAGGATCCTAAATTTGTCCCTAGCAGCGGCAGTTTAGAATATGCGATAGAAATTATACCGAAATTTGCTATACACAACACATGTTTCCGTAGTGTAGCGGTTATCACGTGTGCTTCACACGCACAAGGCCCCCGGTTCGATCCCGGGCGGAAACAGTAATCTCTTTTTTTCTTTGACTGAATGTTTTCAGAATGGAAAACAATGTTCTTATTTAAAGATAGTGGTATTAAAATAATAAAAAAAAAACTATCATTTTATTTGATGCATTTTGATAGCAAAGTCATAGGTGACGATAACTAACACGCCATGCCACCAATTATAATAATGATAGCTGTACTCTGACTATTAATAACGTTTGTATGTGATAACTTCCTCTTTCGTGACCTGCCGTGACAATAGATATTAGAGTCACGCATATAAATGATCACTTATCTATCACTACGACATTTTGAAAGATATGGGAATTTACATTCCAGTTTTTTTCTTTAACTAGTATTGTAGATTAATATAAAATATGAATTCCGCTCAAATCCTGAATTAAATAGACCGTGTAAATTTGTATAAATACTTATATAGTACTGTACCTTTAATAGTCCACCATTGATATAATACTTACTTTGTTGTTTTAACTCAATGTAGTCCACTGCGTGGTATAGTAGGCCAAAACCTCCTTTCTAAGGAGAGGCCTATGTCCAGCAGTGGACTAGTATAGGCTGTTGATGATGATGATTGATGTAGTCCACTGCTGGACATAGGCCTCTCCTTAGAAATAATAATCGCATAACTGTACTGGCATCGCGTATGCAGGGACTCAATTCAACCTTTTTCAAAATATAAAATTTGCAAAATATAACATCTGCCCGTCAATGGTTGCCAAGAAACGATTTGTTATATTTAGAGAGAATAGGGTAAACTAGCTGACGGGTCACATGATGTTAAGTGACTACCACCGCCCATACACAGTTGTAAGTCAAGAGACATTAGTACGATGCCGACTATCGAGTGTTGGCCCACAAGTCGACGACCGGATGACGTAGTGGTTTGTGTAACGGACTGCTATTCCAAAGGTCGCGGGTTCGATTCCCGCACGATTCAAACATTTGTGTGCATGAACATGTTTGATTTGGTCTGGGTGTTTCTATGTATAATATGTATATTGTATTCACACAAAAAAAGTATATATGTATTTATATCAGTTGTCTAGTACCCATAGTACAAGCTCTGCTTAGTTTGGGACTAGATGGTGTTGTGTGAATGTAGTAAAAAAATATTATTAAAAAAAAAATATTATTAAGAATTAGCAAGGAAGGTGGGCCTTCGGTGATCTTACTCAAAGTGAGTAAATATTCATCATCATCATATCCAATTTGGCTGAACTATAGTTAGAATTCCAATTAGTTCAGTTGTGTGTCATGCTATTTTACATAATACATAGCTTCCGTCCGTTCTGAAACTTTCAATTATAATAATTGAAAAGTTTCTACCTTGAAAGACTACCTTGATAAGCTTAGTTTGTGTTTGACGGTCCGACAGTTGGTTGCTTATATTCATTTATTTGTATAACGATTAGGTGTCCATGCGCAACGGTAGCCACTTACCATGACCCGGCTAATTGTTTACCTCCTATACCATATAAAAAAGGTTTTCGTCGTATTATCATTTCATTGTGTTGAGGTATATTTCATTGACGGCTGTGCTGAGGTCTCGGGTGCGATTCAAGGGAGGGACTAAATGTTTGTATGATCTGTAATTTCGGAGTTTGAATGTTTTCTATGCATAATATGGATTTATTTACAAAAAGAAGTAAATAAGTATTCTATCAGCCAATCTAGCTTTCATAGTACAAGCTCTGTTTTGTTTGAAACTAGAAGGCGTTGTGTATCGGTTACCCGAAAAATATTATTTCTGTGAAGTTTTGGAGTAATTTGGTATAAGAACTGCAATGTGCCATAGTTACAGGTGGTGTAATTTCACACACACACTCACGAGAGTGAAAAGTACTAGTCTTCGATATTTTTTTTAATTTTCGTTTGTTACAGCATAGTTTTTTCTAGTTACGGTATATAAAAAATATGCTGATAATGTTATACATAGATAGACATAGACATCTCGTGCCTTCTTTGCATTTCTAAAGCACAGTTTTGGCATTTCTCTGGTACGAAGGATCTGATAGCTTAACTGCGCATAGAACTGTAGTTCTATCACTTTTACCCTTAATATAAGAAATAAAAATAATAAACAAAGACTACTTGCAAAACGTAATCTGTACTTTTAGTGCCTTGTGAAACCCAAACCTTATCAAATTCTAATGACCTTTTGCGAGAAAAAACCTAATTAAAATAGAAAAATGCATTAAAATCTTTTTTTACAGAATGGTGGGGTGCGCGCACATTTTGCTGCGAAGGAGACGAGTGCAATGGCGCGTTCTCATCTCAACCAATGAAAGTACTTGCATTTATAGCCGTACTGCTGACAGTGGCGGTCGCGCGCTGACCGTACCATATCCAACATTAAGAGGACACCTGTGTTCGATATCTTATTCTGCTTCTTTTGTCTATTAAGTTACCTGTAACGATATATTTATATACAATGAATCCTTATTTGTTGGTTTATAAAAGATAACAAAAACATTTGCTTAAGTTGTCAAATATTTTTAATAAGAAAAACACAAATATTATCACATAAATGAGTACGGTGCATACTCATGTATCTATGTAATCATAACCCTACGAAAAAAACTCATACATTTAGACTAACATGCAACAGTTGATTTTTTTGTTTTTTCGTTTCAAAATGTATTCGTTGATATCAAAATTAATTTTGAAGTACAAATAATAACGAAAAGCTATTACATTTTTTTCGTGATAGTTTTCGAAAAGTCATCCAAAAAGCAATAAAAACTGGGCAACATTTGATATGATATATCTGGAAGGGAATGCCCCAAGGAACTATTTATTCGATTACGGCTTACTATCAAAGAAATCCACAACTCGTTGTAATTTGAAACAAAAAAGGTAGTATGTAATGTAATCATACAAGTTTTACAACAAAAAGGAACTCAGAAGACAATACAGAATTTGATAATTCCTTACAGTGACAGCACTAGACTGTCACTGCTTTAAGACTCAATTCACAAGTTTTATAATATCTTTCATAGTTATTAATATATTATTATAGCCCATTCAATGTTTAATTTATTTTTGTTTCCTATAGAGGTACATTTTTATTAACATTTTTGCTGGAATTGAGTTCCATCGACGAAAACAGTTTTATTTGTTATTAATGTCAAAGGCTTTTTATAAATTTAATTATGTAAAATTTATTTACATGGCAAAAATATTTCCGTTATGTGTACAATATCTGTTATATCTGATTTGGATATTTATTTGATGTAAAATAAACAGATTCTATATTTACAATTCAACAAGGTGTAGATTAAGTTTTTGAAACTTTACTTTAAAGTAAGTTTATTGATTTCGGTTCTATTTCGTTTTTTTTTTTGTTTGAGCTTATCATCGATTCTAAAGGTGTAACCATACAATTGAAATATGCTTTGATCTCAACAGACAATTAAATGAATAGTGATAGACGAAATTATACTAGAATATTTTTCAGTTGTAATTTTACTGCTGTGAAAAACCAACGGCTTCTGGGTCACATCAACAGCCTTTAATAGTCCACTGCTGGACATAAGCCCCTCCTTAGAAAGGAGGTTTTGGCCTACTATACCACGCTGGCCAATCGGGTTAGTATAGGGATTGAAGATTTTCTTCTTTCTGCAGTGCTGTTGTTTTCTCCCTTAGTCGGCCCATACGACACCCACGGGATGAATAGGGGTGGGGGTGGGTGGTGACACTCTTAATCCGTCACCACACGGACAAAATGTCCTGGGTGCGAAATATTTTTTATCATTTGTATGTTTTTGAGGTTCCATTATATTTATGAAAAAAAAATCGCAGCAGTAAAATGATAAATTGACATATTATAATAAATAATTTAGTTTCATTACTTAGACGTAATGTATTGTATAGAATAATATCACCACAATTGACGCTTTATTAATTAAATCACAATTAAATTCTTTTCTATATCTAGATGTAACTTATAGAATTACGAATATATTCACTGTAATACCGGTTTGTTAGGTATATGATCTCACATTGACATTATAACTAATTTTTCTTTACCTTTTTACCTGTGAAGGCCGTAAAAGAATAAAAGAGCAATTTAGATTTTTAAGTATTATAATTATACCACACAATTACACGAAGTAGTGAATAGTGAAAGTACATAGTGAATTTTAAGATAAGATTTTTAGAACCCAATGAAGCTTTAATTTGCTTGACATTTTTACCAGATTGTGCTGGCCTGGGTTTATTGGCTCAGTGGTGCACGCAATCCCTAAAGTAGGAGAATGTGTATCCACCCGCATACTTAACACAAAAAATGAGGAGGTATACACTAAAATAAGGGCAGTTCAAACACATCGGTTTATTTGCAGAACAGTGCATAATATTATGTGATAGTACTAAAAGGAACGAATTTATCAAACATTTGAAAATGTCAAACGTTATTATTAAAATGCAGTATCCTCAAAATGTCTTTACCAATACTATTTCTAGAAAATAGATCTCATTTAGGAAATAAAAAATGTTTTACCTAATGAGCACTTATTTAATCACGCTGAGAGTATGTTAAAAGTAAGCAAGATCTAAGACAACATTGGGATCCTTAGAAAGAACAGACTACGTGACCATCCTAACAAAAGCCGCATTAATAGTCAATGCTACGTTCAGGCCCTTCATTTAATGGGATACCTATTTCGATAATTTCTCCGGGGCCGATACGATTAATATATATGTTTACTTGTGTTCTCTTATTTAAATTACATAAACGAATTATATGAAAAATAAGATTGCAAAAAAGGTTATTTACGACAGTGATAGGGGCAAAACTATGACACACGGGGGGGGTCGTCTACTCGTCTGTAGATGACCCGAGGTATGTCGGGGCACCAGGGACTTCCTTTCTAGGGTATACCTGGTTCCCCGGCTATTAGTACCCGAGACGGCGTGCGGTTTTAGTCGGTTCGAGTCCGACATGCCACCGACAGGTGGTATCCGAGGGGATTTCCGCACGGAAAAAAAAAAAAGGGACAACAACAAGGGATTATGACAAATGTAGGCTCTCTGTGGGAAGTGGTACTGAACTGGTATATTATCCTTCCTAAAATAACATATCCTTTATTCTTCTTACATCTGCTAATTTCAAGTGTTTTTATCACGTGATCTATTTTGCTCTTTTATTTCAAACAAAAGTATATTTTTTATTGTCAAACTCAAGTTTTTTTTTAGACAAAAACAATTCCGATTACAAAACGTATACAATTATACACCATTATTTTTCTTAGATATAGTTCGTAACTTTATTAACGGTGCCTAGACAAGATATGAATTTAGGGTGAAATTAGAGCTGTCTGTGTTATACAGTTCCTAATTAAAAATAAAACGAAAACCCCACCCTAATTTGTATGTCTTACTAAATAATAGACTATAACATTAAATATAATTTGAAATTATAGTAATTATAAACAATCTTGTTCTTTCAGAAAATAGGTTACACAAATCAGTCAAGACTACAACCAAAATAAAACAAATGTGAAATCGTTTCTAAAAAGACAGAAAACTCTTTCTAAAAGAACATAGTTGTTAAAATAAACGCTTTATAGTAATTTATCAAGTAACATCAAGATGCTGAAATATTCTAAATTATAATAACTAAATTTATAATTAATAGTTAGTATAAATTATAATTAAGTCACTATGAACATAAAAAGCAGCTACATTTAACTTATTTGAATGGAGATTGCCTTATCTTTCTTGGTTGAGATAATTTGTTAAAAATGTCTTTGTTTTAAGGAGAATTTTTCATGAGGAAATTTCGCAATTAGCATAATTATTCTGACTATGAAGTATTTTAGTAATATCCTTGAGGGATTACTTGTTTGTGAAATTGTAACGGGATATCTGTCGGTAACAGCGGTTTGGCTACACTTAGCACTAATGCCGTAATCTGATATTTATTACATTTAAGTCCATTTGCTATAATTTGAACAACTCTGAAAAACTCTCAATGCGGTCGTATTTTTTATGTTTCTTACCACAGAACTCCGTCACTTAAAACCGATTTGGAAAATGATTCGAATGAAAAATTATTATTTGAAAACTTACCTTTTCCGTTTACCGCCTCCAAGGGGAAAAACTATAGTTCATTACAATTCATCATGAAGCCGGTTTGCGCATTAAAGTCGATGATACTTTTTAAAGGTTATAAAATACACTCGCTTATTATTGGAAACAACCTCAGCACTTTTGCAAGTTTCCACGGTTAAATACTTTTCATAGTTTTTCATACAGTAATTGTAGCTTTACCGCATTGTCTGATTTTATGTTAAGTTATTTAAAATAGTTTATACGTGGAACATATAATTATTGTGTAATTTTTTGTTGTGTAAAAGCTATTTTGTATTTTGTTCCTAGCTGAATAAAGACCAATTTATCACTCATTGATGGTGAGTTTTTGTTCTTTTCAGTGAGATATTTAAATATTAAAAATGGGTGAGTAAATATACTAGGATTTCTCTTTAAAGTTTTATTAATATTATGACGTTTTTTTTTTATGCAACGTACTGTGCTTATTGATTTATGGACTTTTTAAAATCTTCAAAATTACTGATTCAATACTGTAACTGATAAATTAATTACACCGCTACTGCCAGTGAACTAATAAGGTAAAAAAAGATGAGACACAATGAGAAAAGTTTTTCGTAACAATGATATTGTCTGGAGTAGACCCTAAAAAAATGTGTAAATGGCTTTAAATAAAATTATATGAAAGTGTTTTAAAATGTCACCAATCTACATAAATAAAAAAATATTATGTTCGTTTGTGTATGCTTCAAAAACTCAAAAAATTGTATACAGATAAAGCTCGAATTTTGACACGATATAAAACAAGTTTCAAAGATGGTTTTAATCCATTTTTTTTGTAACCACACTGTGCCACAGCCAAGCGTAGCAATTTATAGCTAGTAGATAATAATTTACTATTCAAGACTAGTTTGTAATACCGTTAATATAAGATTAATATCGTAACAGTCGCTACCTACATCGATATCCTACGATACAACAGGTAGGTAAATTATAAATGAACATTTTCCAGAGTTAAAATTCTCAAAAATACGAGGATTTAATTAATCTATTTTGGAAAGACTTTTGTCAGGTATCTTTGATGTTTAAAGATTCAATTCGATTAGTTATTTTATAGAGGTTCTACTACAAATACTACGTTGGATAAGCTGCTGTCGAAATTTTGTATTGTGTAAGTATATTCATTGACAATAAAACGTATTCTATTTTACCGTTTATCGAGATTAAATCGTAAACTTTCACGGTGTCCAACATTACGCCACGATGTGATTTCCTGGGACCGAA